AAAAAAAGAAGAAATGCACAAGATCCACACACATGCACATATATAAAAACTCACATTCTTTTTTCATCATCTTTGTAAATGTCTTTGGATGTGCCCATGATAAGGTAGGTTTTACTTGCTGTTAGATCCTGAGCCTCTCTGCAGTGCTGAGAGCTAATGAATATGCGTGGTTGACCTTCTGGAGCAACATCGGTATTTCCTGCAGTTAGAAGACAAAGTAGAAGAAAAAAACATATATACATATACATATATACACATATATACATATATATATATATACACATATATACATATACATATATATATATATATATACACATATATACATATACATATATACATACATATATATATATATATATACACACACACATATATATATATATATACACACACACACATATATATATATACACACACGCACATATATATATATACACACACACATATATATATATATATAAATATATAGAGCTTGGTGACGCTGTTAAAAACGGTCCAGTCATTTAACACTGCTGACGTTTGCTTTCAATAACTCAGAAAAGGATAAAAAGTGATAACGTGAATGACACACAGTGAAACTTAGGCAATGGGGACGCCTGGTGGTGAAACACGCGACATAACAAGACTAACCACCAAATGGGTGGTCATGGTGTGGAGTCACAGAGCAATGAAGCACCCACCACAGACCATGACAGCCCTGACAAGATGTAAAAGGCATGCAAAATTGTGCCTACATCGGAAATCGCTATTTGATATAATGCAATTTGTAATCTCATCCTTCCTACAGTCTCTGTTACAATATATTTTTATACTTAAGTTAACTAAACTACACCTGCAAAATTTTGACCAAAATTAACTGCAGTTCTGTGTTACCACCACTAAATGTCAGTATACAACCATATTTAACTCTACATCAAAGCAACAGACACATAATTTACCATAAGATTTCATTGGTTATTGGCTTTTTTTGTTACAAGAACCATTATTTGGAAGATAAATACAGTGTTTAACCTTTTTTTATTTTTTTTTATCCACCTTACAAAATAGCCTCACCTCCTTTTAGAAAGACTTACAAAAGAGAGAGACAAAGAGAGAGAAAGAGAGGGGGGGGTGGACTTCTGTGCCTCCGTCATCGCACAAAGAAAGCCAAGTGCTTTCACAATCAGCATTTTCACTTAGGACCACTCACTTCTCTTTCTTTGTCAATACTAGATGAAGCCTTTATAAAGCAGAGACATGACTCAACAAGCTGAATTAAAATCTATGTAAGAACTTGGAAGATCCATGAATTTAAGTAAAAACAACAACAACAAGAAGAAGAAATGCCCAATAAGAGCACAGCAGTATTTCAAGATAGCTGTTTAATAAGGACTTGATTCTTTTCTCTGTCATGTTTTACTTTCTTTTCATTTTATGCACCACATTCAAGAGTCTTTATTGTCATTGTGGAAGCATAATGAAAATATGGTTATAATCCCTCACATGGTGCTACTCCAAACTTTTTTTTTTAAAATTTATGTTTACATTCAGAGGCAGAAATGCTGGTGTATTTTGGATCATTGTAATGTCATATAACCCTAGTGCACTTCAGGAAGTGATGGTCAGAAGCTTTTCTTCAGGAGTTTTTGGTAGAGAGCAGAATTTATGGTTCCATTAGTTATGGGAAGTCATCCAGGTCTTGAAGCAGGAAAGCAGCCCCAGGCCATCACAATACCACCAACATGTTTGCTGTTATGATGCTCTATTTTTTTTAATGCCAGAAGTAACGGGACATAAAACCTCCCAAAGTTCAAATTTTGGCCTGTCAGTCCACAGAATATTTTAAGTCTTGGAGATCATCAAGATTTATTTTTTAAAATAATTGTGTTCTTTTTGGTAAGCAGCGAATTTCACTCTCCCATGGATGCCATTTTTGCTCAGTCTCTTTCTTATTTGTTAGTTATTGAGTTATTGAAACATGAACACTGACCTTAAGTGAGGCAAGTGAGGACTGTAGTTCCTTAGATGCTGTTCTGGGTTCTTTGTTGACCTCCCGGATGAGTCATTGATGTGCTTTTTGAGGTTTTTTTGTAGACTGGCCTTTCCCGGGAAGGTTCATCATTGTTATAAATTTTCTCACCAAGGTTCGCTGAAGTCCCAAACCCTTAGAAATTGCTTTGCAACCCTTTCCAGAACTAATAAACCTCAATGATTTTATTTCTTAGCTCTTTCTTTAGATCATGGCAGGATGTGTTGCTTTTGAGATCTTTTAGTCTACTTCACTGATTTCTTGATTTATCAGGCCTGGCAGTAATCAGGCCTGTGTATGAATGGAACTGTAGCTAATCACAGTGAATTCACGATTTAACAAGAGGGGCAATTACTTTTTCCACACATGGTCAGGTAGGTGTTTAGGTAGGTGTCTCCCTTAAAAAAATTAATTATCTTTTAAAAACTGCATTCTGTATTTACTTGGGTTATATTTGACTAATATTAAAATTGCCTTGAAGCGCTAAGAAGATCCAAGGAATCAGGAAGGTGTCAAATACTTTTTCACTGGAGTGCATTGGAGGGTGTAATGTTTCTTAATAATCTAAATTTCTATCATTATTTGGGGGCTTTTGTCAGTCACAGGGCCTTAATATTGTCCCAACTTCCCCCTAAATAGGGCACTCCTGTGTGGAGTCAAATAGCTTAAAGTTTATTTTAGAATAGTTTGATATGGCTGACAGGCTGTGAGATTAATCTACATCTAGTGTAGCATTAACATAACAATTAAATGGGCAGTGAGTTCATAAGGGTTCAAATGGATTATTCGAGCCCATCACACTGTGCCACACATGGCAAAAGTAAAACATGATATCATGGCAATGTTCATGTAAGTCTGACATAACTGGCTAAGTCCTGACTGGAGTGTTTAGGCATCATTGGCAAACTTGAACAGCTTCTATAAAAGGATAAAGTGTATTGCAAAAAATGAAAACAAACATGATGAATTAATTTTATGCGGCAGGAATGTAAACACATGCTGTCCCTTCCAGGAAATGGATGTGACTAACTCCTTAGTCATCTCCGGATTCCTGTTACAGCCTCCCCCACAGCTTTCATGTCTGCAACTTCCTGCCTCTTACTGCACTGGTGGAAAGGGGCTGGGTGTTGGAAACATGAACATATAAATGTTCATTCATTTCAGAGAAGCAGAGGCACATGACAAAGGAGAACTAAGCTTTGGTCTGTATTTTCTACGTGTGTGTGCCTATCTGTCTGTGCACGTTGGTGTGTGTATAAGAAAGGGAAACTGTTTCACATTCTGTGTCTCTTCGTGAAATGGAGCAGCAACATATTCAAGTAGAGAAGAAAAAGCTCTGCTGTTCGATCTGTTTAGATCTGCTGAAGGATCCAGTGACTATTCCCTGTGGGCACAGCTACTGTACAAACTGTGTTAAACATCACTGGGATGAGGAAGATCACAAGAAAACCCACAGCTGCCCTCAGTGCAGACAGACCTTCACACCGAGGCCTGCTCTGGTGAAAAACACTGTCTTGGCAGAGTTAGTGGAAGAGCTGCAGACGACTGAACTCCAAGCTGATCACTGCTACGCTGGACCTGGAGATGTGACCTTTGATGTCTGCTCTGGGAGGAAGCTGAAAGCTACCAAATCCTGTCTGGAGCGTCTGGTCTCTTACTGTGGGCAACACTTCCACCCTCACTATGAATCCCCTGCCTATAAAAAACACAAGCTCATCAAACAATCAGGGAAGCTCCAGGGGAACATCTGCTCTTGTCACGGTAAAGATTTGAAGCTTTTCTGCCGCACAGACCAGAAGTGTACCTGCCTTCTCTGCGCAGTGTATGAACACAAACACCACGGCATGATCTTGGCCTCGGAAGAACGCAGTAAATGGGAGGGGGAGCTTGTTTCAAGTCAACAAAAGATTAAAAAGAGAATCCAGGACAGAGAGAATGATATGAAGGTGCTTCAGCATGAGATGGATGCCATCAATTATTCTACTGATAAGGCTCTCAAGGAAAGTGAGGAGATCTTTACTCAGTTGCTTCATCTTATCAACAACATGAGGTCTGATGTGAAGTTGCAGATTAAATCCCAGCAGAAGACAAAAGTCAGTCGAGCCAAAGAGCTTCGAGCCAAGCTGCAGCAGGAGCTCAGGTGGCTGAGGAGGAGAGATGCTGAGCTTGAGCAGCTGTCACATAGAAAAGATCATGCAACTTTTATTCAAAATTACTCCTCTTTGACATGCATAAATCAGGGAACCGACCCACGCAGGATTAACATGCATCTTCTGCAGTACTTCGAGGACGTGACACTAGCTGCGCACAAGGCCAAAGAAAAACTACACGCGATTTTTACCGATACTTCCACCAAAATTTCACTGATAGAGAAAGAAGTTAGTGTTTCAGTACCATCAGGAGAGCCTAAGACCCGAGCAGAATGTTTACAACACTCACAAGTACTCACACTGGATCCAAACACAGCAAACACACACTTGTCACTATCTGAAGGGAACAGAAAAGCAACTGTGATGAGTGAAAAACAGTTATATCCCAGTCATCAAGACAGATTCACTGACATGTTTCAGGTCCTGAGCAGAGAGAGCCTGAGTGGACGTCATTACTGGGAGGTGGAGAAGAAGTCATTTGAAGTTTCAATAGCGGTTACCTACAAAGATATCAGAAGAACAGGGTATGAAAGTGGATTTGGAAATGATGACAAATCCTGGGCTTTAGAGTGTTTTCATAACAGTTATCAGTTCAGACACAATGCCACCAGCACTTTAATCAGAGGCCCTCAGTCCTCAAGAATAGGCGTGTACCTGGATCACAGTGGAGGTATTTTGTCCTTCTACAGCGTCTCTGACACGGTGAATCTCCTCCACAGAGTTCAGACCACATTCACTCAGCCGCTGTATCAGGGTCTTGGTGTTTTTGCTTCTTCTGATGCTCCTGCTGCTGCTGCTGAGCTGTGCGAGCTAAAAACAATACTAGTGCCTGTAAGTCCTGTGTAAGTTGTGCTGAAAATCAGTGATTTCCATGAGAGTAACTGAGGGACAGGCAAAGACTTTAGGCAGTAAAAGATGTATTAATAGCAAAAAAACCAAACAAACAAAAAAGCATCTGAAGATTATAAATAAGGATATGTAACAATAATCTTGAAAACCATAACTAAACTTGAACAAAGACACAATTTGGGGACATAGCAGCTCAAGCTACTTGTGCTAAAAGTCAGTGATTACTGTAAAAAAATATTTGTGGACACATATGGTTGTTTCTATGGTAGAAGAGGGTTAAAGGCATAAAGAAAGCTTTTAGAAATAATTATTTGACCGTTTTATACAAAATACATAGATTCTGTCATGGGGACTCAAATGGCACTAAATAGTTTGAATGAACCAAACATAAAGTTAAATATTTTATTTAAATTTAAATAGTAGAAGCCTCACAGTGGGTCAATACAATATTTCTCTTTAAATTGCATCAAAGGTGATCCATTAGAGTCCAGTCAGGTGGCATGTTGGCCAGTTTTCATTTCAGCTTTATCTTTGTCTTTGTTCCTGTTGTATAGCCACTGAAAGGGTGATGCTTTCAATGAACTGAAACAAAGGTAGGACACTTTTCTATGTAACCATGCTTCTGTGAATAATTTGACACAAACATATATATTAGAGTTAACATACTAATCTCCTAAAGAGAAGAAAATTCAGCAAAGCTTCTTCTTTTAAAAAAAAACAAAACTTAATATATCCCACCTTCATATTTTGCAACACTTCTGCTCTGCCTAAACAGAGTTGTGCTGTCATCTCCTGTTTACATTAGCAGGCATTCCTAAATCTCCAGAGCAATTAAATAAAGCAAACATGGAAGTGAGTCAACTAAAGTAAAGTGATAGTGGGTGTGGAGGGGGTGTCAGCAGGTTTACAGAAATCAGTTTGTTTTGTGATATGTTTTCTTTTTGATAACTAAACTGTTAAATCATGTTTTTTGTTTGTTTGTTTGTTTTAGTTTTTTAAACACATGTCAGGTTTATGATAATTATTAAAAAATAGAAAAGCACATTTAAACTTGGACTGAGCCGAGACTGGTTTTAAAACCAAGTGTAAAGAAGATCCAGTGATTTATTTCATAGTTTGCTAAAGCTCAAGACTTTGTGTGTTTTCAGACACAAGTCTTTTCTTCACATGTTTACACTCCAGTATTATTAGCTTAAAATACAAACTCTGTAGTCAAAGAGCAGTTACTTTCAAATGTATTTTAACATTTGCACAGTGAAGAGACGTTGCTTGAAATGTTTTAAACCGTGTGTTTTGTTGTATGTGAATATTTGCACAATCCTTGTTAAGTGTGTAACATCTTTTGCAATTAAAACCGTGATTTATAATCTTTATTTTCAATACAGAAATATGGATCTATTTTAAAGCACAGTATAATTTGTGTTTGTGTCTTTTACTGTAAAAACGATTTTAATACAGTTTTGTTTTTAAATATTTGATTTTGTCAATACTTTCCCTTCAGTTAACCATAAAGATGTACAAGACAGTATGGTTTTTATTGCTTATATTCAAAGCTTTTTTCTTTTCTTTTCTTTTTTTTAATTGCTTCTTATATTCACCTTTATATTTTTGATGGATGGGTCAAATGTTTAGCATGCAGGACACAAGAGATGAACAAATTTGTTGTGTCATTGTATGCAGGGCTGCTTAACGATGTGTGGTTTCTCTTAATGTCACCCCAAAGACCAAGTCAGGTAACATATTTGACAAGGTTTTATTTTGGCTTCTTCAGAAACTTGGGGGTGATTTTGTGTGTGCTTTGGACTCCGTTGATTGTGTGGAATATTTTTGCGCTGCTAAGACAAAGTGTGTAAGAAACACAATAAAACTTGTAAAAGTTACGTGCCACAAAGTGTAATTTCTTTACTGGCCACACCAAAAGTCCCCCCCCTTCTTCTTCTTTCATAAATACCGTAAGATTTTTAATAAGTCATCCATTTGAATTCTGTTTATCCAAAAGCTCAGTTCATATTCTTAAAGAACTCTGCCTTGGGCCTTCCGTTTTTAATATAGTCTTTATAAAGATAACCTAGTATTACACATTGGATTATTGATAGGAGCAAATACAATATTTCTTGACTTAGAAACTGCATTTAGAACAATGGCCTAAATTGAAAAAGTCAATTTCCACACAGGCGTCAATTTTCGCAGTGAATCATGTTTCGAAAGACAAAAAATGTCAGCAAGAAATGAAGAATAAATGAATATCTGACGTTTTGTTTTTCTTTTCTTTTTTTCTTTCAATCGTCAGTTGAGAATTTTAAAACATTAAGCTGCTGGAGTGGAAACCTTCATATTGAAAGTGACAGAAAAAAATATATTTCTGACATTTTCTAGGTCGCATTTATTAAGCTTTAGAAGCCCTAATTTACCGTAACAATTTTATGCACATATCCTCCGCAGATATTATTAACTGTACAATGGAGTGCCTCATTAGTTAATCGTGATAATAAAATAAAGGTACCGAAAGGCGGAACCCTTGTGTAAGAGGGCTGTTGCACTTACACGGAATGTTTTGGCGTGGCACGTAAGAACGCGGAAGTACGGCTGTGTTTCTCGGATTTGTTTATTTTTTTCCTCCTTTTACCAAATTTAAGGGAAAGTAATGGCGGTGAGCGCAGTCCACCTGGAGTCCGACGCCTTTCTGGTGTGCATGAACCACGCGCTGAGCACAGAGAAGGAGGAGGTGATGGGTCTGTGTATCGGGGAGGTGGAGGTCTCCCGTATTGTCCACATCCACTCCGTCATCATCCTCCGCCGCTCCGACAAGAGGAAAGACCGGGTGGAAATCTCCCCGGAGCAGCTGTCGGCGGCCTCCACGGAGGCGGAGCGGCTGGCAGACATGACCAGCCGGCCGATGCGGGTGGTCGGCTGGTACCACTCACACCCGCACATCACCGTGTGGCCCTCCCACGTCGACGTGCGCACCCAGGCCATGTACCAGATGCTGGATCAGTGTTTCGTGGGCCTCATCTTCTCCTGCTTCATCGAGGACAAGAACACTAAGACGGGTCGGGTGCTCTACACCTGCTTCCAGTCCGTGCAGGCGCAGAAGGGCTCCGAGTACGAGCGTGTGGAGATCCCCATCCACGTCTTGCCCCGCGAGGCCATCGGAAAGGTGTGCCTGGAGTCGGCCGTGGAGCTGCCGAGGATCTTGTGCCAGGAGGAGCAGGACACCTACCGCAAGATCCACAGCCTGGCGCACCTGGACCCCGTCACCAAGATCCACAACGGCTCTGTGTTCACCAAGAACCTGTGCAGCCAGATGTCGGCGGTGAGCGGGCCGCTGCTGCAGTGGCTGGAGGACCGGCTGGAGCAGAACCAGCAGAGCATCTTGGAGCTGCAGCGGGAGAAGGAGAAGCTAATGCAGGAGCTGGCGGCTCTGTGAGGCATAGGACAGTCCGGAGATCAGTGCCAGCTGTCTGTCCCAGAGGACAAGAACAATGTGCTGCCTTTATTTGAGCTTCTTTTCTGTTTTCCTACCATCCAGATAGTGTCTGGGTGTTGAACCTCAATACTTTGAGTGAAAAGTTTCAAACTGTTGATATTAAATGTCTGCTCACTATTGAATTCTGAGCTGTTTATTCATAATTAGCTATAATTTAAAATTTTCTTCAGAATACTGACAGGTGTCCCACTTTATGTGGGACTGCACAGCATTTTAAATGCTTGTCTCCATGCTGCACATGTTGACACAGTGTCTCACATTTTTTGATTGGCTCCAATCAAAATTAAAACATGCGAGCTGCATAACATGTTGCAGAAAAAAACGTGTGCTCATCTCTGGATAAATCCATACTGAAATGAGACAGAATAAATTGGTTGGTTTTTGCAATGGAAAAAAAGGGAAGGCTATGAAAAGCAAGCCAAACTTTTTTTGATTTTATGGTTACTGTATTAACTCAGACAGGAAGTCACGCTGCCTCACACAGATATCCTCTTTACCTCACATTTAGCTGTTAGAATCTAGTCACCTTAAATAAAAGTAAAGTTTAAATCATGCACAGCTCGAGGTTACTGTAAGTTCAAGCAAGTTAGATCTAACTTACTATAACGTGATTGTCGCAGATGGGTTGATATTGGAGGGGTATCATAATTAGCAAGCCCCACCACAGTATAGTTTCTTTCATATGAAAAATACAGAATGTGTATATTTGCAGATACACAAGTTATGGAAAAACAAACAAACCAAAACAAAAGAACCACAACACCATTACCAGCAACATTACCGTCCTGGGTTAACCCCGTTTTCTTCATTCTTATACTTATTTAAAATGAGGTTTTTATATTTTACTTTAAACTGTTTTATGTTTTTACTGTCTTTTATTTCTTCTGTTAGACTGTTCCATAATTTAACTCCTGCAATTGAGATAGACATAGTTCTTAAAGTTGTTCTAGCACTTTGTATTTTTAAATTACATTTCCCTCTTAAGTTATACCCACCTTCTCTTTCTATGAACA